GCCTGGGAGCTGCAGGGGAGGGTTTGGCGAGTTTTGCGGGCTGGCAAACGGCAGCCTTGAACGTCCTTAAAAGGACACTGCCAGGGCCTCAGGGACTTGTTGGAGCTGCAGGAAAGGTCTGCCGCGGCCTGAGTGGCGCCTGGGAGCTGCAGGGGGAGGGTTTGGGGAGTTTTGCGGGCTGGCAAACGGCAGCCTTGAACGTCCATAAAAAGACGCTGCCACGGCCTCAGGGACTTGTTGGAGCTGCAGGAAAGGTCTGCCGCGGCCTGAGTGGCGCCTGGGAGCTGCAGGGGAGGGTTTGGCGAGTTTTGCGGGCTGGCAAACGGCAGCCTTGAACGTCCATAAAAAGACGCTGCCACGGCCTCAGGGACTTGTTGGAGCTGCAGGAAAGGTCTGCCGCGGCCTAAGTGGCGCCTGTGAGCTGCAGGGGAGGGTTTGTGGAGTTTCGCCGAGTTTTGAAGGCTGGCAAACGGCAGCCTGGGACCTCCGTAAAAGAACACTGCCACGGCCTCAGGAACTTGTTGGAGCTGCAGGAAAGGTCTGCCGCGGCCTGATTGGCGCCTGGGAGCTGCAGGGGAGGGTTTGAGAGTTTTGAAGGCTGGCAAACGGCAGCCTTGAACCTCCTTAAAAGGACACTGCCACGGCCTCAGGGACTTGTTGGAGCTGCAGGAAAGGTCTGCCGTGGCCTGAGTGGCCTGGGAGCTGCAGGGAAGGGTTTGGGGAATTTTGAGGGCTGGCAAACGGCAGCCTTGAACGTCCATAAAAAGACGCTGCCACGGCCTCAGGGACTTGTTAGAGCTGCAGGAAAGGTCCGCCGCGGCCTGAGTGGCGCCTGGGAGCTGCAGGGGAGGGTTTCGCGAGTTAGGCGAGTTTCGAAGGCTGGCAAGAGGCAGCCTTCAACGTCCATAAAAAGACGCTGCCACGGCCTCAGGCACTTGTAAGAGCTGCAGGAAAGGTCTGCCGCGGCCTGAGTGGCGCCTGGGAGCTGCAGGGGAGGGTTTGGGTAGTTTTGGCGAGTTTTGAAGGCTGGCAACTGGCAGCCTTGAACCTCTTTACTGCCACGGCCTCGGGGACTTGTTGGAACTGCACAGGGTCTGCCGCGGCCTGTTGCGTTTTGGAACGCCGTAGAAACAGAGATTGCTGTGGCATGAGTGGCTCGTGGGAAGTGCACAGAAATTGCTGTGGCCTGAGTGGCTCCTGGGCGGTGAACAGAGGGTGCTATGGTTCGGGTGGCTCGTGGAAAGTGCAAAGCATTGGGAACGAAAAAAAGTTCCACACCTGCGGTGGTCCCAGGCGCCGCCCCTGCCTTGGCTAAGGCAGGGGTCGGCGGATTTAACGTAGCTATGGAATATGGCCCATTTATAGATTAATGTATAGATGATAAAAATGATGATTTAGCGTTTTTTTCAAATGGTGATTATCCAGTTCGCTACGTGGGTCATTACCAGAGGGTATTTGTTGTATGCGGGCCTGGCCATTGTTCAGTTTTAGGTGCCCGCGAGTCGAAAGTTGCACAATGTTCGCCTCGCACTTGTCAAGCATTTATGAACCATTTTAGGTTAGCCATGGAGGCTGTTCGCAAATTGAAGATTGAACTGACATTCGGATTTTTTGGGGGATAATCCTCCCAGCCGACAAGGATTTCTACGATCATCACTAGATTGGCATTGGTTTCCCTCAGAACTCCGCTGAAAAAATGTCGAACAGCATCCTTATTGAGGTGATTGGCTGGTAAAAGCCTCGGTGTTTTCTTGTTGTTTGCTCTACTCAACCCAAAAAGTTGATTCATACTGATTCATATAATATTGGCTATAATTATATCCATGTTTAGCGTTTTCCCTGTGTTTTGTTCCCTGAATTATATCGTCATTACCACTTGGATGTGCATCCCGGCAATCGTAAGTGGGTACTGTATATCCCATGAATCATTGGCGTATATGGGTGTAGAACACCGATCCTTGAAGTGAGATGCATCCCCAAGTATAGATATATATATATATGTGTGATGTCAGGTTTGATCTATCTATTATATATCTATGGCCTTTGTCAACTATTTGGTTTTTAATGGTTTTATTCCCTTGATTGTTGGTCTGGTTATACATCGCATGATATGCCCATTGTGTTCCCATATATAAACATTATTGTCCAACAAAAATCACCAGTATTTACCCATCCATATATATATATATATATTGTTGATGATATATCCCATTAAGTCCCATGAATATCCAACTTTGTTTATGCATAAATCCCCATGTTCATGGATATCCGGAATTTTTACATGAATATTGATTGAATCCTCAAATTATGGATAAATCATGACAAGTCCACCATGAATTTCCCCAAAACACCTCGAAGCTCCCTGAAACCCTGCAGGGTATGGGTGGTGCCATGGACCTGGTTTCAGCAGACTCCAAAGTCCTAGTGGTTTGGAGCCCTGCCGCACCGCGCCGTGCAAGAAATGTGGAAATATAATGAGAATTATTTGGTGAGAATGTGGATGAACCACTGTCAAAAAAGGATAATTACTATCTCATATCTATTCATTTTTAATCACTCATAGTATACTACCAAGTTTTTATTAAAAAACAATGAACAATGAAGAGTATCACTCATTACTACTCATAGTATCACTCATTAACAACCGGGTGAACAATGAAGATTAAACTTTCCAACAAATCAGTTGAGTTTTTTTGCCTCCAGTTTAACCTGGTGATTCGGTGGAGTTACTGTAACGGGTCCCCATGGTGTTTCTTAATGATATCATGATATGAATGATAGTTTTAATATGTTTTAATGATCATTAATGATGGTGAACTATTATGAATGGTTAATGTTAATGATGGTTGAAATTTTCATGATGAATGAATGGTTAATTTTTAATTTTATCAAAAAAAACTTCACCATTCATGAAAATCATGAAAAAATACTAATGGATGATGTGGATGGTTAATGATTATCCTATTTTTCCCAATGCTTTAACAGGATTTCACAGGATGATCGTGATGACTCCAATGATCCCAAGCTTGGGCAAACTGCTGTGGCCGTAATTTCTTCACCCAGGCGGTGCCAAAAATGTGTTGTTTTTTTTCTGGACACATAACTCATATAACTCTTAAAGATGACGGATTTTGAGTTTCATGATTTGGTTATAAGTTGTATGTTTTTGTTGTTGGTGTTCCAGATTGTTTTAACTGTTGCCCTTCTGCGTCCTCAAACATGGCAATTGAACATCATCAAATGGGGGGATTGTCCAGCTCGCCACGCAGTATCCTACTATGTCCCCATTATATCCCTCATTAGATCCCCACGAAATAGCCATGTATGGTTGATTCTATACCATTAAAATCCAGTAAGTATAGATTCTTCATATTCATGAACATCCATTTTCATTAACATCCATTAACATCTCATACAAATCATTCCATGTATGGATGTTATCCACGGAACCTCCCATTTTTATCCTCCTGCCAATTTCCACTACTAAATGCTATGACCTAGGTCCCGGAAAGTGAACCAAAAATTTAGTGTGAAATTTCCAGAAACCATTTAGTAGAGAATCATGATTTTTCAAAAAAAAATCAAGTAAACATCTCGAGACCCATGATCCACATTTAGTAGTGAGGTAAAAATGATATGTTAATCATATGATGTCAAATGTTGTTTTTTGGGTAAAACCATTTAGTAGAGATGTCAAAAAAAATGTTGCAAAATCACAGGAACCATTTAGTAGAGGTTGCGAAGTAGAGTTCATAAAACGGTCACAATGACACGAGACAAAACAGAAAAACCATTTAGTAGAGATTCCCATTCCGTCGCCCCCGATAGCCATTTGGCCAATCCATGTCCATCAGGATGAATCACGTCAATCCAGATAAATTATTCCTAACGATAAATCAAAGATATTCCTGGGTTGAAGTAAATCAACATGATCGGGTATACCGCGATATGAAACAACAGAAGTTGGACAAAGATAGCATCCTTGCAGTATCCTGCCATGCCGCCTCCAGTCTAGCCAAGTGCTGCCTCTACTAAATGGATGGTCATGGGATCAGTCTATCTAGAACTGTTTCAAACAAAGCCCTGTTGCATCCTTGTGTGCCCTATTATCCCTTACGTGCTATGGAACACCATTTTGTAGTCCCAAAATGTCCAAAATCTGTCAAGATTTCCCCTGTCTAGCCAAGTGCTGCCTTGCCTTTTTTGGGGGCGATGCCAAATCCCTCGCTTGGGTGTTTCTTGCTCGTCGGGTGCTGCCTTTCGTGTTTTTTTTGTTTTTTGCCTTTTTTGGGGGCGATGCCAAATCCCTCGCTTGGGTGTTTCTTGCTCGTCGGGTGCTGCCTTTCGTGTTTTTTTTTGTTTTTTTTGCCTTTTTTGGCGGCGATGCCAAATCCCTCGCTTGGGTGTTTCTTGCTCGTCGGGTGCTGCCTTTCGTGCTTGGGTTCTTTTGTTGCCTTTTTTGGGGGCGATGCCAAATCCCTCGCTTGGGTGTTTCTTGCTCGTCGGGTGCTGCCTTTCGTGTTTGGGTTCAACATGATCGGGTATACCGCGATATGAAACAACAGAAGTCGGACAAAGATAGCATCCTTGCGGTATCCTGCCATGCCGCCTCCAGTCTAGCCAAGTGCTGCCTCTACTAAATGGATGGTCATGGGATCAGTCATATGTGTTTCATGTTGTTTTCTCTACTAAATGGACCCCGTGTATTTCTCTACTAAATGGCTTTGGGGTTTTGGTCGAGTGATGTTGGTCCCCCAACTTGTGGTCAAACGAGTACCTCTACTAAATGGAACAGGGCGTTTGGTCGAGTCATATTGGCGTCTTAAGACACTCTGAAAATATATCCGAATTTTGCGCTTCAGCTGAACCAGGGGCCCACATTTAGTAGTGAAATTCGATCATGCATGCACATCCATTTAGTAGAGCTTGAGGCTATGCAGGCCGTTTCTTCACTACAAAATGGTTGCACAGCCCCAACCCTTAATTGACAGGGGGTTCCATTTTTTACTGAGTTCCGCATCGGAGTTCAACGTGTTCCACGGCAAATCAGGTCATGGAACACGTAGCCAAGGGCAACAAGCACAAGCTGAAGCCCAGCAGGGATGTCCCGGCCGTGGATCAGTGGCTGCTATCTGCTAAAGCATCGTTTATTAAATGGGATAGTTAATGGGAATATCATGTATCATAAGAAATCAGAAAATATAATTTAACGCCATGAAATTGAATGATGGAATGTGTTGATAAGTTTTGTAGATACAATGGGAACATCGTGAGAATATGAAGGGAATATGATGGGATTTACATGTGTTGACCATGATAAATATGGGATTGAAGATGTTGGGTTAATATTGGGGTTAATGGGTTAATAATGGTGAATCAGTGGTTATTAATCGCGAAAATATGGGGTTTTTAACGCGAACTGTGAACATTTACCAGAGGGTAATATGAGGATATCAAGGATACAGCCCTGCGGATTGGAAAAGCATCCAGGATGAAGCCACGAAGACTAAGCATCAATGAGAAGGCATGTTTCTTGGATCATTGAACATCACTAAACCAGATTAAAGCAGATTAAAGCATCTATCGTCAGTGGTATGTAGTGACTAGTGGCATGTGATGAGGGTTGAAGGGCAGTCACTGGGCAGCCAGCTCAGTTGCATGGAAAGCATGGGAGAGACAAATGATGTACTGCCCTACTGTACTGCCATCTGTCATAAAGTACTTGTTATGATATATATATATATATACTGTATATATATACTATCACCTATAGTATATGATAGATATATACTGTCATATAGTATATGTTATATATATATAAATATAGTATATTTTATCACATGGTAGTACACCTACTGCGGATGGTTGCGAAATCCTGCACCAGTTGATGGTTTATCCCGTGATTTATAGGGTTTCAACCATCCGTTTGGTGGCGCGGGATTTCGCAACCATCCACAGGATGTGCCAGAAATTCACAAATTGAAGGGCAGCTCCTACAAGTCCTGGTGATGGTACAGCCTAAAAAGCGAGTTTTCACGATGCGTCAGACGGGGTTCAGTTGATTCACCAGGTTGCAGCCTGCCACTGACTGGCAAGCGAGCGCGGATTCCTGTGCTGAAATCCTCCAATGGCTGGCTGGAAAGCCCACCTCAATGGAGGTTTAAGGGACATCAAATCTATAAATACTGGTTGGTGGTTTAGAACATTTTTCCCATATATTGGGAATGTCATCATCCCAACTGACGAAATCATATTTTTCAGAGGGTTCAAACCACCAACCAAGATAGGTGGGTTACGGTGCGTTCTCCATTGCAATGGGGGGAAAATTGAGGTAATACCCGTTGGAGTATTGATCCGCTCAGCGGATGGTAGAAATACCGAGTCACCTGTCCTCAGGAACACTGTTGGGGTACAGGGTAAACATACTCAACGATGTGGAAAACCCATGGTTTTCCCCAGGAAAATAGCTGCATAGCTGGTGGATTTTCTACACCTTTTTCTATGTGTTAGTTTACCCTAGGGGATCCACCGTGCCATCGCAGGTAGTGAACAGATGCATCACTGACATGGCCGTCTTTGACTTCGTCACTGAAGGTCCAGAGGCCCCGCTGGCCCCATCCAATATCTTTGGTTTTGCTGTGTTTGCTACTACATCTCTTCACTTGCTGACATTGTTTATCAAAACTTTGATGCTTGTTCTTGTTCTTGTTCTTGTTGTTTTTTGTCCTTTTCTCTTCTTCATGTGCTTCTTGTTCTTCCTGTTCTTGGAGCTAATTCCCGGGTCAGATACGTTCTCGAGTCGACTCAGCGGCCCTGATCCAACCACCTGCAGCTCTTCTTCTGTGTGTTTTCTTCTTATTCTGTGGGAAAAAAGTCCCACTTTTATGTTGATAATACCCATGTTTATGGTTTTTGTTCTTACTTTTGTTCTCTTTCTTCTCCTTGTTGCTGTTGTTCTCGTTGTTGTTTTGAACTTTCCAGACAGTTCGTGAAGATGATCAGAAGGATGTTTTGCCCCTCCAAGACCTTGATCCCACGGCAACGTTTGCATGTTGAAAGATGTCAAAAAGGGCTGCTAATTAAGGACATGACCAGATTAAAAATATGGCTTTAAAATGCTTAAAACTTGTTTTTTTGACCATGTCAAAAACCGATTCAGCGCCATTATTTGGGGCTATGAACATGTCATGAGGCCATCGATCCCTAGCCATGTTGATGTACTTTGATGTTCATGAGGTCACCATGGCAATCCAACGTGGCAATGAAAAACCCAATATTGGTAAAGCCATAATAAACCATCCATTAGTTTGGTAAAATGGTGGATGAGCTACTATTGCATTACCAACATTACTTGGTTTGCATATGATTATGGAAAATTGCACAAGCATCCCAGTGTGGATAGAATTTGTTTGTTCGCTCTCATCTAATTTAATCTAGGTTACTATCCATCATGGTCGGATATGTGTAGATTTGCGATGTCAAATGTTATCTACTATTAACTATGGATATATATATATATATGTATGTGTGTGTGTTCTTTGTCATTGAAAACATGTCAAAATATGTCAAGAATAAAGATGATCGCTATCTATATGGTTATCTAATACGAACTATGGATATGTGCTCTTTGTCATTGAAAAACATATCAAAATATGTCAAGTATAAAGATGATCGCGATCTCTATTTGGTTATCTAATACGAAGTGTCACTTTGTATTATGTGTGTATATTCATACGGTCAACCATGTAATGTAACGTAACGGGATGATAGCCATATCTCGGCTCGAAAATGTCACCTGCGGGGCCAGGCTCCACCAACCTTGATCGAGATCGCTCCAGGCTTTGGGAATTGGTTTGGGGACCGGCCAATGGAAAATAGATACCTATAGAATCCTATACATACAATATGGAGATTTAAAATTCCATGAAAAAAGGGGATTCATCTGTAGCTATTTGATGCCATTTGAGATTATGAAATGAAAGGTCGGAACAAGATAAAAATTGTTATCATTGAATAATAGATACAATGTTGCGCATCACAATCCCCAATAGATCATAATATCTGAACCTTTATATGAACAAATATTGATCTTTATTGGGGATTATGATATACCTTGTAATCCCCAAAAAAAAGATAGAAAAGTTGTAATTGATCATACTTTTCGATCTGTCTGCCGGTTGCTATCACGTGAACTAAGTCTTGGCACACACATTCAGAGAACGTTATTGTTTTTCTTGGTTCTTTGTTGGGCGATACAAACAATTAGCACAATATGATAGAATTTCAACGTTGACAGAACCGCAAAGTTTGGCTAATTGTGTGTAGACCATCCAATTTCCCGCTGCCAGACCCAGACTCACATAGCAATCAAAGACTACCCTGGTTGGAGATGACTGACCTATCTTACAAAGGGTTTTCCCGTTGGTCAGTTTACCAGAAGACATGTTCCTTCCACTTTTGAAATTTGGGCATTTGAGCAACGACTCAGTCACCCCCCTGCAACGGGCATAGCCACAACGCATTTGCAGCAGCCAAGTTTGAGAAACCACCAGTGGCTGGTTGCATCCTCGTGATTTTTTGTCATTTTCCCTTGATTTCTTATTCGTTCTGATGGGTTAACATTAACCCCTGGGTTGTGGCAAATTGTGGGCTGCCATTTTCGTAGCAGATTCTCACTATCTGCGGAGTACCCCATAAATCAACCGAGATTAATCATGGATTGACAGCCACCATCGTCTTTCAGTTCCGTGAAATCTCCCATTTTGGGGATTTTTGTGGTGGGTTACATCGCTGCAGACACCACGGTGGATGCGGTCAGAGAAGCCACTGGCTTCGAGTTCAAAGTCGCTGAGCCACTGAAGACCATGTACCTCGTCCGAAAGGTGATGGCAACTCATGTGATATTCATGGGATTTCATGGGATAGAAAGGAAAGATTCATAGAATATTTCATGAAATAATAATGGAATATTTCTTGGTGATATTCATTTCTTATTGGATAGAAATACCATGAAATACCTAAGCTTCTGGGTTTGTCGGAAATTGGTGTCAGGTCCTAAGTCATGGTACCCCGAGTCATCCATTTCTAGAGTGGGATTTTCCATGAAATAAACCATCCAGCTATTGGGGTACCCTCATGACTTAGGAAACCTCCAAATAGTGTATCCATAAAGTTAATCATCATTGTCATTATCCCTATAGCCACAGTTGGGGGTCTACCGCAATACTTCATCTTAGGAGACACACTTTTTGGAGCTAGGGGACATGTTTCGACGTCCTTTGTTTATTGTTCATGATTTCGTTCGCTCTGTTCGACAAAACAAAAGGCAACTTGAGTTACCCTCTGGTTATTTAACATAGCCATGGAAAATGGCCCATTTATAGATGATTTTCCCATTAAAACCTCCATTTATAATGGATGTGCCATGGTTATGTTAAATAACCAGATGGTATAGGATCGGTTTTTCCAGCGTGGTTTGCCCATGTCAAGAAGATTCATGCAAGGTTGGCTGACTGAGCGAATCGTGAAAACACTCGGCCAACGCTGCCGGACCGTTTCAACTGTGGACAGAAAGCATGCTGGTGAGCTAGCACGGCCACGGCACGCGAACCAAGCGCTGCATTTAAAGGCGCATCATCGAGTTTGGAATCAGATTGAAAGTTTGATTGCCTAAATCTACTAAACTGTGACCAACGCAAGAAGCATATACTTCGTACTTGATTACAATTGATTGCAGGCGTTGTCATTGTCTGAAGTATTTCTAAACTTGATCTTAAGTTAGCTATAGAGCACCCAATTCCATCATTGACCCGTGTGCTTTTGTTGCCGGCAGTGGTGGTTTTGGACCTGGTGAAACAGTTTCGCCGCCCCCGGACGTACCAATTGCATACGGCCAAAAAGGTGCTTGTGATGATTCGGAAGAGATGTCCATGGATCAAGTATGGGCATGTTTGAGACATGTTTGACCCTAACAAAGAGGTTCCACATGGTTCCACTGCTCTACCCGGAAGCCACTAAAGGCAGCCAGTTTCCAGTGTGGCACATTGTTTAGAGGAATCAAGTGTTTCTCATATGGGTCTGTGTGAAGATGGGCTATGTGGCTATACTGTACCCTCCAAAATGTCACTTTTATAGGGAAAAGAACTGAAAAGGATGATAAACCAGACACTGCTATCATTTCGCAGCATGCCTAAAGATGCCTAAAGCATGTTCAGGTCCGAAGCCGAGTGTCGTAGCTTGTGCTTGAGGGAACACCACGGCATCATGCACACGTCTGGGACGTGCTACACACTTTGGCACGGCTTAGACCGGTGGAATCAGGACAGGTACGGGGAATGTGAGGTCACAACACGAAGGAGATGCCAGGTCCTTTTTTTCCAGCCAGCAAGTTCATGCAAGTTCTTCCTTTTGAAAGATGATTGAGAAAAAGGTCGGATGCGAAATTGAATAAAGTTTGCACATGTTTTTTCCTACTAACTAGTGTGCTAAACCCAAGTATAAACCATCCCCAGTATGACCATAAATGGGTGTGAGGGTGGTATGTATGTTTACGATCCCCACATGTTAAATCCCCATGATACTGGCCTATGATGTGGGGTTAAATGCCTACTATTCAGATCTTAGTATTAGATCATCAATCATAGTGTTACTTTTCCTACTAAATCAATCTGCATCTCCTGCTGGTGGTTTGGAACATGTTTTATTTGTCCATATATTGGGAATAATCATCCCAACTGACTTTCATATTTTTCAGAGGGGTAGGTCAACCACCAACCAGTTCCTTATTTCTTCGTAGAATCCCATGCTATCCATCGAAGCGCCATGAAGTTTCTCACCGGTGATGACACCGGCCTCATCAAAGTGGTCCACGTGGAGAAGCAGAAGGTGCGGGAACTCCATGTAGAGGCTTCTAAAGGCGAGATGTTTCTGTTTGGGAATATAGACATGTATAATATGTATATATAATTATATATAATTATACTATATATATATATATGTGTATATATATATATATGTAAATGTATATAATTGTATATTGCATGTAATAATTATATGTATGTAATTATATATACCGATTCGCATTGTATGCTGCAAACAGGTATCAACGGCAAAACCGCATGTTCCCTCCGACGGGCGGCTCAACCACCGCTATTTCTGCTGCTCTAATAGACATAGCAAGCCAGTTCCGACATATGGTTCTTTACAATTACCATGTCCGAATTTCGATGGCTGGTCTCCGTGATGCAACAAAAAATGCAGGGAGCCCCTGAAATTTTGTGGGTTAAATCCCAATGTGGATTGGTGAAATCCTCAGTTTTGCTAGGCTTAATCTCCAAAATCATCCAATTTTCTTGCGGATCGATCGCGTGCAAAAAGATCCCTAAAACTGTTTCCCTAGCTTAAATCCCAATCTTTTTGTGATTTAAATGGCATGTTCATGTCTAGGTGAAATCCAATTTTTGGTGAAATCTTTATCCGTTTGGTGATGGCTTATTGATTATTGATGTTTTTTGTTTATCCATTTGTTCTACATATAGTTAGCCCTTGTTTTGGCAGTGGTTTTCGACTGTTTTTGGACTTGTCAGTTTTTCACATTAGTACAGATTGGATCAGAGATAGACGTATAGATACGTATAGTGAAAGATGGGAAATTACTCATAAGATATTCGTGAGTTCACCTCAAAATATGGACGTATAGTTATGGTATGTTAGTTTACCAGAGGGTATGGATCTCCAATCCATTCGTGTCAGGCTGAACGCTTTGGTCCACGACGGAAGGGCCAGGCGGTGCAACGCCTTTGCTGGGCTGGGCCAGCTGCAGCACCTGAGGCGAAGGGGAGATTTTCTATGGCAATTTTATGGAAGTTGATAATTTGTTATGGGAGTATATGATGAAATTCTGGATAGAATAAGGATTTGTTGGGGGAATTGGATTTGTTTATCTAGTTTTTATGGGAATGTATGATTTTTATCAGAGATTGTGATTGTTCAGGGTTTTTCGCATCAATTGATGGTGAGGACCGGGGATTGTACCATCAAAGGATGGGATTCAGCCGATGGTGGGTTTAAGTTATGAATATGAATGAATATATAATATAGTGTAATATACTACCATATAATTAAATATAATATAATATAACATAAAATAATATAATATAATATAAAAGAAGATTTTTTTGTATAGGGGGCTTCTGTTGGTGCAAAGGTTCCACAATAATGGGGATTACAATTTGACGTATATAGTGGTATGCTATGGTTGTGGATGGTTTTGGTCTAATTGTTTCTTTATCTTTGTTTTAGTTGTTTTCAGCTTTCTTTTACATTTCTCAATTTCAAATAAATCTATCTGTCACTGTATTTCCTCTTTACTTCTTCGTTTCAAGAATCTGTTGTATTTTTCACTGCTTCTCTTACCTCATTCTGTTTCATTCTGTCTGCTAATTCTTGTACTACCTCTGATTTTTTCGAGGGTTCAGAGTGTATATATATATATACTATATATATACATATATGTTGTTTATATTCTGGATTGTTTTCTCTCATCCTTAGGCTTACTTCTATGATAATATTGATTCTTTTCTTTATTTTGTGTTGCTTCCTGATGTTTTTTTTGTAATGTTTTTCTTTGTGCATCTTTCCCTTATTTTGTTCATGTCTTCATTTTCCCTGCTTTCCTTTTTGGATTTACATAGCTACTATTTTTGGGTGTCTTCATTCCTTCTGTGGTTGTAGTTGCTTTTTCTTTTGCACGTTCTAGGTTTGTGTGGCTTGGTCTGTTGTTTTGTTGGTTGATTTCTGGTGGTGCCTCTGTAATTTTGTAATGTCACATTTCAATGTAATGTTGTTAAAATCTCAAGAATGTATGTATGTCTATGTATCTATCGTTGTACCTATCTATGTATGTATGCATGTATGTGTGTATGCATGTATGCATGTATGCATGTATGCATGCATGCATGCATGCATGCATGCATGTATGTATGTATGTATGCATGCATGCATCATGTATCTATGATGATCGTTTGTTTGGTGGGGCACGTGAGACTGCCATGGGTGGATGGGAGATGGCAGCCGGAGCCAGCAGGGCGCAAGAGAGCCAAGTGAGGAGAAAGCTCCCGGGTGGCTTAGGGAAGGGCAGAGCATGTGGGTGGAGCTGTAAGAGTGTTCAAGATGTGGTGGGCCCAAATGAGTGCCTGTTTGTTTGCCCTAAACCTTGTTTTCTTTTTATGGCACAGCCAGGGCTGGGGGGGGAGGGAGGGCGATTCTCTTGGAGAATGGTGGGTGGGGGCTGTAGGTAGGGAGATGGGCACAGTTGCATTGGGCTGGGTCGCCGGGCCTGTTCACGCAGCTGCTCAAAGCAAGCAGGCAAGCAAGGAGTCAAGAGTGGAGATGTGGAGATGTGGCATTTCTGCTGCTGAATTTTGGGGGTCTCATGATGACATGAATTAGGGGGCCGGTTCTGTTTCCACCCTTGCAAAGTCTTGTTTTATTTTTGGTTTTTGGACTGGGTTCACCTGGTTTTTTCCGAGGAAAAGTGGTTTTAGGCACACCGGTCATCATAGATACATGATGCATGCATGCACGCATACATACATACATGCATGCATGCATGCATGCATACATGCATACACGCATACATGCATACATGCATACATACATAGATAGGTACAACGATAGATACATAGACATACATACATTCTTGAGATTTTAACAACATTACATTGAAATGTGACATTACAAAATTACAGAGGCACCACCAGAAATCAACCAACAAAACAACAGACCAAGCCACACAAACCTAGAACGTGCAAAAGAAAAAACAACTACAACCACAGAAGGAATGAAGACACCCAAAAATAGTAGCTATGTAAATCCAAAAAGGAAAGCAGGGAAAATGAAGACATGAACAAAATAAGGGAAAGATGCACAAAGAAAAACATTACAAAAAAAACATCAGGAAGCAACACAAAATAAAGAAAAGAATCAATATTATCATAGAAGTAAGCCTAAGGATGAGAGAAAACAATCCAGAATATAAACAACATATATGTATATATATAGTATATATATATATTCCCTCTGAACCCTCGAAAAAATCAGAGGTAGTACAAGAATTAGCAGACAGAATGAAACAGAATGAGGTAAGAGAAGCAGTGAAAAATACAACAGATTCTTGAAACGAAGAAGTAAAGAGGAAATACAGTGACAGATAGATTTATTTGAAATTGAGAAATGTAAAAGAAAGCTGAAAACAACTAAACCAAAGATAAAGAAACAATTAGACCAAAACCATAGCATACCACTAAGTCAAATTGAAATCCCCATTATTGTGGAACCTTTGCAACAACAGAAGCCCCCCATACAAAAAAATATTCTTATAATATAATATAATAATATATAATATAATATAATATATAATATAATATATAATAATATATAATATAATATATAATATAATATATAATATAATATATAATATAATATATAATATAATATAATATATAATGTAAATATATAATATAATATAATATAATATATAATATATAATATAATTTTTTTAATATATAATATATAATATATAATATATAATATATAATATATAATATAATATATAATATATAATATATAATATAATTTTTTTAATATATAATATATAATATATAATATATAATATAAATATATGATATATAATATATAATATAATATAATATAAACAAAAATATAAACAATAATATAAACAATAATATGGCTATATATGGTTATAACAATATAATGTCTATATTATAATGTGTTAACCATATAATATAATTATAACAATATATAACCATATATAGCAATATATAACATTATTTAGCTATCTATTTATATATGGATCTACTTGTGTAAGAACGATTTGGGTTCCGTCACTGATACCCAGTTCTTGGTGAGTTTGGTCACCATCTTTTTGGGTATTTAAGGTAGACCACGATTTGATCGAAATAAGATCAGCAATGGGGATTCGTGACAGACAAAATAAGATTCAAATGGTTGAGGCGTTTAAGGGCTATATTTATCTATTTGGCTTAAACATGATTTCGACAAGATATGTGGGCTTAAGCAATCTTAAGCATGTAACTATCATCAAAAATGTTGGTGTGACCACTGGGAAGCCCAAGCGCCCAGGGAGCTATCTGGGAAATGAAGAATCCATCATGGCTGTCTCGACATTGAAATTTGGTGTATCCCATGATATCGTCCCAGTTCATTTATCCCATGATAAATCATTATATCATATTATATCATATTATATCATATTATATCATATTATATCATATTATATCATATTGTTTCATATTATATCATATCATATATTGTATCATATTATATCATATTGTATCATATTATATCATATCATATTGTATCATACTATTTCATATTATATCATTTTATTTCATATTGTATCATATTATATCATATCATATTGTATCATACTATTTCATATTATTTCATATTATATCATATTATTTCATATTGTATCATATTATATTATATCATATTGTATCATTTTATATCATATTATATCATATTATATCATATCATTTTATATTATATCATATTATATTATATTAGTTCATATTATATCATATTATTTCATATCATATCATCATAAACAGCATTCAGCCATGATATTCCGAGTAAGGACAACTTTAAGAAACCATGATTGGTTGCACTACGGCTGGGCGTGCAGTTCCGCGACCTGGGTTACATTTCACCATAGGGCCTCCATATTGCAACTTGTGGAGGTCATCAGCATAGTTGTAGCCATTCCCTTCGTAGCTAAACCAACAGTTTGCTGCCCGGAACATCATCCATTTTCATAGGTAAGTCAACTATAAATGGGTCATCACCATAGCTATACCATAGCTAAGAAACTACCGGAGGGTCATAACCCTAAACCCTGCACCCCCGAGTGAAAGTCTTTCATCGGGACAGGCTGCACTGGCAGTGGCATATGATTCCGGTGCCTTAGAGCTCCGAGACCCTCAAGGTGCAGTGAGCAAAGTTGAGCTGAGTGGTTGATGCTGCTTTAACCATGATAAATCTATGTTTGGTGATGGGGATATAGGGATTATTAATGGTTAATACTGGTTAATAATGGTGAATTATTATATAGTATGTGGTTGGTGGTTTGGAACACCACTTTTATGACTTTCCATATATTGGGAAAAATCATCCCAACTGACGAACTCGTATTTTTCAGAGGGGTAGGTATACCACCAACCAGATGTAAATATGGAGGGTTTTTAAGCACCAAAAATTGTTTGATATACTTGACAACTGATGGTTGATGTGTGGATTGGTGTAAATACTGAATATTGAATACTGAACAGTCAGTAATCAATCATTGGATTTTGCGGGGTAAGTATCAAAGATATCAAAATACAAGGGATAGATCATGTTTGATTGGTTATGAAATAGGGCGGTTATTAACCTGCCTAATAAACAATTGGGGATTAGGATAGCCCCAATAGTTAACAGGAGACCTACTAATCAGTATTTCATCGGATTGGGGATATTTGTCATGGCTCAGTTCTTAAGTCATGGGGGCATCCCACGTTACCATGGCTTTGCTAAGTCATGGTCTGACTGGATGATGCAAGGGGCCCTGGGTGCCCCCATGACGGCCTGATGCGAGTCATTTGATTCCAAACATTCAACCCCATTTAACCAGTGTTAGTTGAGTTTCTCAGCCCATTGACTCATATATATATATTCATATATCGCATATCTACAATGTGGGGCCCCCCAGTGATGTGAACGTTGGTTTAGATTCACCCATGAAAACATCCATTAACTATATTTATAAGTATCATAAACCATAGTGACATTGGAGTTATGTGAACCCCAACTGAACGCTATCGATTTCACGACAGCCCCACATTGTAATCCACCTGGCTCGGGCAGGGAATGTCTTGAGCACTGCCTCCACGGTGGCGGACGTGAAGTGTTTGCAGGTCGTTTTGGGGGGTCCAGAGATCGACTGGGACGTTTTCGACTGGGAAATGGGAATATCATGAGTACAAAATCGGGATATTATATTATATATATTATATATATTATATATATTATATTTATATATTATATATTATATATATATTATTATTATTATTAGTATTATTATTATTGACCGAAGTAAGGGTTTAAAACTTGTAAATTTCTTATCCCACATCGGAACTGATGAATAACTCTGCTTACTTCAGTCCCTATTCAGTAGGTTGTCCCATTTATCGGGTGGTGTTTTTGCCATTTCGCAACCACTGAATGCGATGATCCACCAAGTTTAAATCGGAATATCATGGTAATGGGTAGTCAACCCAGATTTGTCCGGAAAAAAAAAAACTTGGAAAAGCTGAAGACTTGGTGGTTTATCATGATTTTGCTATTAACATTGCCAGTTTGAAGGTATACCCCATTTTCAGACACATCCGTTTTCGGTGACTTGGAATAAAAGCCCCCAACTCCTAAGTGATTCAGACGGGGGGGCCTAGAAGGGCCCAGAACATTGAATTCCGATAGATGGTCCACGATAAAAAATGTGAGTTTCATTGATCCTGGATCTATGTCAGGCCCAACTTCAAGGGTAATGCCAAGCTGGATTTGTTCTAGTTGGTTTTACTTTGAAGGCTCATCAAATTTGCATGGAAGTCGTTGGCTTTGCTGCGAGTCACAGACTCGAGATTGGTTGGGTAGGTCAACAAGGGTTACAAGTTGCATTGGGGTTTTTCCCGTGACATCCAGTGGTCAGCGGATGAGGCATGTAGTGCTGGTCTACTTGCAGTGGCAAGTGATGGGACTGGCAGCATTGTGGCGGAATGGGGCAAGGTGCGCTGAGAATCGCTTCACCGGACGACTGGACCTGGACTGGACGACTGGTTGCGATGGTTGTTTGTTTGGCTTCCTGTTGTTGATGGCTGAAAAATCCCCCCAACTCATGTAGATCAGAATGACCAATGTTTGGAAGAAAGTAGTCCTCCAAGCTCCTATTTGGCAGGGTCTATGAAAGGCTGGGCAGATGGAATTTGGGGATGGTAGCAGCAGCAGAAGATTAGCCACGCATTTTGTAGCAATGACTGAAACCGGGAGCATATGCTGAAGACTCAGTAGTCGGCTTTCCCAACGCTGCAGAAAAGCGTCTTTCTGTTCCAGCTGCAATGGCAAATTTGACTCGAATTCTACTTGAATTTGACGCAGGCTGATGCCTACTCTGGCGATCCTCTACGCTATGCTGGAGGAGTCAACAGAATGTTGAGGGAACAATAGCACATCGCTTCCGATTTTCGACTGCCTGTCCTTTTGTTCCATTCCAATTGAGCAATGTTCAAAGGCCTGTTGGTTGGTGATTACAGGGGCTTATCCTACCCTGTATTATAAATATATATATATATTTATTTATTTGTATTATATATACACGACATAATATAGTGGTGGATTATCAAAGTAGAAATTCGTTTTGTGGCGTTTTGTCCTAGTCATCCTAGTCCATCTCATGATGCCCCATTTTGCCATGCAAATGGTCCATGTTATCAAATGAAATCATAAATTATCCATGTTATCAATCTACATTATTCGAAAGTTATTCAATACTTCCATGATATTATCCCTAGCTATAGAAAATCACCATTTTTATGGGAAAACTCACTATAAATGGGCCACATTATGTCCCATGTTTGGGGGATCTTCACGGCAGACATGGACCTTGGTCGATGGTCAGGACCTTCGGCTGAAGTGGAGCAGTTTCAACTGCAGGTCGTGCCGTCCAAGTGGAGACGGGGTTTTAGACGGATGGGGCCACCATTCTATGGTTAAGAAGGGTTCAGAATTAATGATCATTAATGGTTATGGATGGTGATTAATGGTTATTCATTAATGGTTATTAATGGTTATTAATGGTTATTAGTGGTGATTAATGGTGATTAATGGATCTTATTAACCATATAATTATGCATTAATGGTGATCAATGATCTTATTAACCATCTCAATTAATGGTTATTAACCATTCATTGATGGTTATTCATGGTGATTGATGGTGATTCATGATGGTGCCCCCTTCAGCGTTCAGTTGAGATATGGATAAGTGGCTGAATGAACTATGGTTTTGGTAGATATAACATGATATAACGAACCAGTATTCATGGGGTGAATTTAAACCAACAAACATCACTGGAGGACACCATCCTGTAGAACAGGATAGAATTAGTGGAAACTAATTGGGATGGGGATATGACATGATGGGTATACAATGGCGTTCTATAACCTAAGGTCAGGATTTGGATAACAGTTATTAATGTGGTAATACCCAATATAAGCCATCCCGAAGTCATCACCATTTTTATGGGTGGTATTTTTATCATCCCCAAATGGTAGGTGTATGGTATTGTGTGTCCCACATTAGTGCACATCAATGGGATGTAATGGGGATATGGCACTTTGGGTATATAATATTATAATGGAGTAATGGGATATATATATATACACACACACCACATAGCCAATGGGGATATTTATGTGGTTGTGGATCAAAACCTATTTATTGGGCCATATTTGAGTTGGACGAACATCCATTTGCCATTTATCTTGATGTTCACTGGGGGTACTGTACTGGGTTTTCCCAATCCCCATCTTCATTTTCAAGTGTGTTCTTCAATTCTATCTACTGTAGGTATATCATAATAGTAAATAGTGACCCATTGATAATAGCACTGAAATAATATTGACAAATAGTAGTTAATAGATAATAGTTATATCGTAATAGTTAATAGATCATATACCCTCCGTTTGAGAAACATGTTCGGTCATTTCACTGTGATAATATAGCCTCCTTCAATAACTAGAGATATGTTAGTTTTTGAGATGATTTTTTCCGACATAGTTATATCGTAATGGTTATATCGTAATAGTTATATCATAATAGTTATATAATAGATAGATCATATTGAGACTTTTGGAGTGTTTGACCCATTGACATTGATGCCATTGAATATCTGAGTCGCACCAAGCCACTGATACCGCCGACCATGGAGGAGATGCTGGGGCTGTCAGCTGTCAAGCCTTAGATCCAAATATCAACTTCCAACGACCGAAGCCGTCGTTCTCCCGAAGCCTGGTTTCATGATGGGAATTCTAAGGGGAATCATCCCCAATATTCGCCCAACATTTCAGGCTAGTGAATTATTATAATTGCCCAGCACTATGTACATCTATGTACTATATAAGCTCATGTAAAGTCGAAATATAATCCATTCATTGACATGATCTAAGCCATATGGTGTGTGATTGATGATTTGCACAATCCATCCACGAAACTCGTTGAGCCATCTGTACTCAGATCATCTCAGATACATTTAGGACTCAATGTACTCATCCATTGTATTAGTATTAATTATGCTCACATATATATATGTATAACATTGTATAACTATTTTTGTATCATATGTTTAACATTATTTCACTATATTATTTATATCTAGTCAACTAAAATAGTCTGTATATAGTATGTTAACTATTGGATTTAACATTGTTTCACTATATTTCTATTACTATCTATATCACTTATTGTATATTTTCATCCAATAGAATAGTCTGACTCACTGAAACGTTCTTGGCGGCACTTTATCGTCCAATCCTTTTGGGATTCGCCAGGCGCCAGTGGCACATGCAGCTGTTGATCCCAGCAGGCCGCTAAATGTCGCTGCTGTCTGGCTGTGAAATTTCGGGATATTTAGGGCTATATATATATATATATATTTATTTATGATGCCTATATATATATACACATGTAAATAGGATTATATAGGGATATGTTTGGGGATATTTAAGGGTATTGAATGATATTTAGGGATATTTAGGGATTAGGCCATGATTAGGCTGCTAATTTTGTTGGTGTTTAGCATGGTCGACACGTTGCGACAGTTATCGTGTTTTGAATCTTTGTCAGTGGCCGATTACCCATGATGGCGGGTTCAAGAAATTTGCATGGCACGGCATCTGGACACTGAACATCACCGTCTTTGTGAGATCCCATCCTTACCCTCTGGTGACTCTGGTAATAAAAAGAAGTTCGCTATGGAAATGGAGAATCACGTTTTTTTAACAGAAAATGAATCTGTGATCTATAAATGGGCCATCTAGTTATACGATCATATACCATAGCTATGTAAGAAATTACCAGACGTTGGCCAAATCGTGTGGTTCCGACCTACGACCTTCGTGAGGCCGTCGAGGTTCGCTTTTGGCGGCTTGGAGAACGTGCAAAGCTCAGTCCCCAAAGGATAGCATCGGTCAACTTCGTTTGTTTGCTACAGGATGGGGCCGTAAACAATTGCGTTCGGTCGCCTTATAAGTGGCTTACCCTCTGGTAATTTACCATAGCTATTGAAAATTCACCATTTATAGTGGATTTACCCACTGAAAATGGTGATTTTCCATAGTTTTTTGTATGTTTACCAGAGGGTAACTATGGTTGTATGGTAGATATAACATGATATAACTATTTAATGTGTATAAACCAACCAACTGGGGGTCAACATCCTGGGCCAGTTTATCCATGTTCATTGTAGCGAACTGTGAAATTACCAGGGGGTAACTAAGTTGGTTGTAACCCCCATCAATACTATTGTTCTATCATTATTATTATATATATACTATATATATACATACATGTCATAACTCCAATAGAGAATAATCATGAATGGTGGTTATAATATACTCAAACAGTGAATAATCCAGTAATGGGGATGACAATAATGTTCTTGGAGTTATGATCACCAACTAGCCCGGGTTTTCAGCCCCAGTTGCTTTAGGTGGGTCCCCAAAAGCCAAAAGGTAATATTTACTGATAAATTTGGGGATTGAGGAATAATTATGGTGATATTTATTAATATTACCTAAGTTATCAGTTATTAGTCTATTGAAATAATTATCATGATTGATAAATTACATAGGTTTTTTAATGAAATACCATTGAAATTGGTACACACCCATACACCAGGAGTTGATTAATCCTATGGATTCACTTATTTTTTGCAGACTCTGCAGTGGTTTCTCATCAATTTCTGCAGGATGTGAAGATCTACGATCTTGAAAGGAAAGAGGCACGGATCTCTGCGGATGAGAGCTGGTTACTTCATGAGTTCGGGTCATTTTGGGAAGGCGACCAAGGCTTTCAAAGTCCCATCTTGGATGGTTTTTGGGGGGTCCTTCGTGAGCATTTTCTGTTGGGACAGGTCGTTTGGACTGCGAAAAACGTGCGCGAGCCTCTTGTCTGCATGTGAGAAATGTGAGTTGTCACGAGTCAAGCTGCTCCCATGTGAGTTCATGTTCAATCTCTGCTCCAAGGTGAGTACGATTGACATCGATTGACTGAAAGGAATCAAAATCTGTGGTCACCCTGTGTCTAGAGTTTTTACCCATGGTCATTTTGATCTGCAGGGATTCTCTTTGTCTTCGCGTGCCGGTGCGCCAGACACGTAGCGATTTTGGGTTGGCTACTAGTGTTCCGTGAAAACTGGGACCTAGGTGGCACTGGCAACGGTGCAGATATTGGGTAAAACATGGCAAAACTATATAGTAAAGTTACACACTAAAGTGATCTACGCCAAAGATTAGACGGCAGTGTATCAAGACCCAAGCTCGGGATTTCCAGAAGTATTTCGGCTTCATTCCAGGTGAAGGTGACAACCTTGGGATGGGCAACAAAGATGTGCCCGTCAAGATCGTTGATCACGTAGGGGAGCCCGGGGAGCCAAAATACCTCAAGGCAATGGTGTCCCGGGGAGATGTGCGATTTTCAGATTGGGGTATGTAAGCTGAGAATTTGATATCAACTATCAACTTGATACCAATAGTTAATAAGTTGGGTATTTTGCTTATGGGGATGTAACTTGATATAGTCAATTTGTCAAGTATAGTAGGGGTCTGGTACATGAAAATGACAGCTGGGCCCTCAATATGATATATTGCAATATTTTGCAGTTTAATTGGATGTCTCCTAAAATGGGGGATCCCCCAAATCATCCATTTTGTTTTCAGATATTCCATCCTAAACCATCTAGCTATTCTGGTATTCTTATTTATGGAAGCCCCCAATTGTGGAAAGTGATGATAAACCCCGTGGATTTTGGGAGCTATGAAATGATATGAATAGCCTGGTAATCCAACTTGGCAAGCTGGTAAATCCCGCCAGTTCGATGATTTTCCCACGAAAAAAACCTCTATGGCTCGGCCACGGGGATTTTCACAGTTTGCTGGGAAGGTGATGTGATTGTCATAGGACTCAAGGATGTCCATCCCGTAGCATGGTGAAATGCTGAACTTGGTGACAGGGAAGCGGAGTGCACAGCGCTACTGCAGTTGCAACTGCAAAAAAAATAAATGTCCTGTTTGAAATCGTTTTAGAATATTTTAGAATATGCTAAAAAAACCCTTCTCCATTATAGATACCCCAAAAAAAAAATATTGCTTAGTGTGGAATCTATTCATTTTGAGAGTCCCATAAGGGTGTGGTATTTAGTATACGTGGGATGGAAATATTTTAGCGGTTTCTATGGATAATATTGATATCTATGGATATTGTGGTTATAATAGTGGAACATGATAGTAATGGATTAAAATTGGGCCAAGAAACCAGGGAGGGTATCCCTTCAGTCGACCAAGGTGTGGCACTGGTGATGGAAAGGTCCGGGTCTACGATGCGAATGCGCAGCGAAGGTGCGGACCGGGTCAAGGCGTTGAAGGCGTAGCGAAGGTGGGAAGTGGGTCAAGCAACTCGGAAGCATCATGCAACTGAATCCACTTGCTGTCTGGGGGTTTCCAAAAATGGGGGTACCCCCAACTGGATGGTTTATTACCATGGAAAATACCATGAAAATGGATGATGACTAGGGCTAGCCCTATTTCAGGAAACCCCCATATGCAAACATTGGGGAAGTGTAGCAACAAAAACTGACAAAAGCTACCCCCAGCTCCATGGTTTGCTGGAAATTCCCAGCTGCCCATTTAGGCCACGAATATTTTCCAGCAGCCCGTCATGTTTGATGACACCTAGTTGGATTACAACCCCAACCAATATAGATGAATTCAGTTATAATCACCATAGTCAATTATAATATATTATAATCACCTCATTTTTTAAAAAACCCAAATCAATTCCTAGTTATAGTCATAATCACTGGTTAATGAAGTTATAGATCAACTTAACGTTAGATTGGCCTTTGGGACACCAGATCGAAGCTCGCCTTCCGCCAGGCCTCTCTTTGAGCTGCTCATCGGCTATTTGGTGGGCACAGGTGCTGGTGGATCGCAGCATCTAAACATGTGAATCTCCCCAAAACGAATTCTGAACCATTCGGATGTTAAAGAGGAACCCATTGACAGGAACAAGATAGGAAATAGATGGAAATAGTAAATGACCACAATTTCAGTAGGATCTTGCTTTTCTATTTTGTGGTTTTGCGGGTTGCTATAAACCTTACCATTATTGCCGTACAGGTACAGGCGGCTACACAGGCACCATGGATGACACCAAGAGGCCCAGCGAGTCAAATGTTGGAGCAAAAAGCATTGAGAGTGGTGGGCAATGAGATATGAATGGGGATATTTCATGGGTGCACATGTGTGTATATATATAATTATATATATATGTATATAACCAACCATAAGCAGAGGTTGGCAATGATATACCATGATATACCATGATGTAGCCATATTGGGGATGGTTATCAATCCATGTTCATCGTGGGCTGGGTGAACTGACCATACTGATCCCTTCCACTTTCCCTCAGGATTAAATACCCACCAGAAACCTGTCTTTTTGTAAACTGACATAGCTATTGAAAATAACCATTTATAAATATTTATAGTTATAGTTATTTTACCCATTGAAAATTGTGATTTTCCATAGTTATGTTAGTTTACCAGAGGGCATTCACTTCAAGGGCCCATATGGAGGGTATTTAATGTTAGTTGGATAGGATTACTGCAGGTGATTGGCTGTTGGCAGCAATGGAATGGAAGCACTGACTCTGGTAAGAAAGCACAAGATGGAAATCATCTATCTTAGCCAGTCTGGATTATATTATCAATGACTTACATCATTGACTCAGTGACTAGCCCTATTGCAGATACCTGCTGCTACCTGCTGTTGATGCGACAGTATCAGTTGTAGAGGCCTCAACTCTGCAGCAAAGTTGCGCAGATTCGTCCCAGACTCAAGCCAAGGGGATTTTGCTCGAGCGCTTCAAAGTCCCAACTTGATACTCCTGACCCAAGAATTCCTACTGTAACCTCTCTAAGATCACAACTCAAACATATTAAAGGATCATGAAGGATCTAGTTAGTTGCTTGGCAGCATGAAACAGACCTAGGTGGCAATGATTGGGGTCTATTGATTGCAGACACCTTGGGCATCATCCGTGAGTGACCCAACAGAAGAGAGAGCTGGAGAAGGATAGCAAATGAAAAATACATGGCTGGTTGGTGGTTTGGAACATTTTTTATGTTCCATAATATATGGGTTGTCATCCTTCCCATTGACTAATATTGTTCCAGATGGTTAAAACCACCAACCAGAATAGATCTACTAAGATCATTGGATCGGAAACAAGATTCGCGCCGGGGCGAGCGCGACTTTCGTGGAGAGGATTTTTGTTGATAAGTTCTAGTTCTGTGCCTTGGGCAATAGATCAAGATGTTTCAGTTTACTGAAATGGATCAGGATTCAATATCAACTTTATCAGCTATTTATATGGATCTGTCTCAAACTTGGGAACGTTCCATCCCAGTCCTAGAATTGGATGATGGCTGAAACTGAAAAAAAAAACCTCCAGTAAACCAACACGGATGGGGAAAGCCATCATTTGCAGATGAGTTCCTAGGGAAACCATGGGGAAACCTTTAGATTTTCCCATGAAATCCTATAAATCATAAAAAATCATAGATTCCGATTAAATCCCATGAAATCCCTATGAAATCACCATTCAATTCATCATTAAAACACCAGAAATCTGGTATGTTTACCCTACAAATGGGTACCATTTGGAGCTCCGATTTCACCCGCTCCAGGTACGACTTGCGCAACTTGCCCAAGAGCCAAGCTGCAACAGTGCCACCCGGGCGTAAGCCACTTGACGCATGGATTCATGGATCAACATGGATTCACCAACGACAGTGGGAATGTAAAACGGGAAGTTATATATAATGATATGTATACATCTAATATATATATATATATGAATATAATTACGTGTGTATATATATATAATTATATATATATACACATTACTATTATATAAATATAATGGTGGATTGTCCATTCAATGCCACTGATAATTGGGATTGAATTGTCACCATCCCCGATTGTTGACCATAAAACGGGGCTATGAATCATCCCAAGAATCTGGGTATACTCACTGACAAATCACAAATTGGGGATGCGAAAAAACGGTGTAGATACCATACAATTAAATTACCAACCATGTTTGCTGTTCACCAAAACCATTCCCAGAAATGGTTGATGGGAAATAGGAAACACCTGTATTTGAAGGTAGAAACCATGGTTTCCTGTAATTTGTCCCTTCAACCAAGTTAGTGCACCATATCATACCCATATTGACCAATGTGTTTGTGATGTCCCCTGAATCTTCATGCCACGAGGGCGCACTTGAAGCTCGCAAACAAGGACTGTGGGACAACTCACACAATTTCCCCATGCGTGAATCATGTGCAAAAGAGATCAACAGACACCGTTTCCATGAAATTTATAGGGACACTCTGGCTGATGGGACCTCATTCCCATGATCTTCCCATGATCTTCCCATGATCTTCCCATGATCTTCCCATGCGGAAAATCGGGGTTTCTTTTTGTGAGAGTGGAGATGGGAATCGGGGTCCCATCAGCCAGGAATCCTGTGTTCAACGCAGAAAGATTGCCATCGTTTGACGTCACTTCTGTCTATGGAAATTTTTGCATACCTATTTCGCTGGTAGGCAGACAAGCAACGGATGCGTTGGAAATTCCTGCTTTGATGAGCATTCATGTTGAAGAGGAAGGAAAATGTCAAGCGCGATCATTCACACGCGTTAGGAAGTGGCAGAAGATGGCTTGCGCCAAGATGTCTAATCCATTTCAAGCCGTGTGCTAAAGTAAGCTTCTTGAGATGGCGCTTTGCAAGAAACAGGTGCAAATGTCATCCACTCGTAGAGGAGAACCAGCCTCACATAGATCTCAGCATGCATTATTGTGGCAAGGTGTACCCTCTGTTGATTTGACGTGGCAATGGAAATTCAAGTTTCATTATGTGTGTGTGTGTGTATCTTGTACATAATGCACAGTGTGACTATATATATAATTATATATATAATAACAATAATAATAATGATGATGATGATAATGATAATAATGATGATGATAATGATAATAATAATTATATATATATACCTTACTATTATTATAAGAATAATAAGAATAATAATGATAAGAAGAAGAATGATAACAATAATAATAATAATGATAATAATGATAATAATAATAATAATATATATATATGATAATCATCCATAAATGATTGCGTGCTTTTCCAGCAAGGTCCGGTCACAATCACTGGAGGGTAAAGAGTTCGTCGGCCAAAAACCGGAGGAGCTTCCCTTTCGGCGCGGCTACAAGTCCATGGTCCCAGATCCGTCGGTCTCATGGGATTTGTTCAATCCCACCTTGATCTAAAGCCCTGAAGTTTTCGGTGTCTTGGAAGCTTGAGGTCCCAAGGATTCCAAGGATTCCAAGAAATCGTGGCCACAAAATCACAAAGGATGGGTACCCCCGACTTCCCAGCGGATCCGCATAGTGCTGCAGGGGTACCATGGGTGCCATTCGGGACATCGATGTCCATCCCAGTTGGAGGCTCAGGATGCCTCAACGACACCACAGGGCCAGAGGGGTTCATCTGAAAGGGTGTCCAATTCCGATGATTTTCAGAGATATTCGCCATGTTTCACCGAAAATATGCAGTTGTTCAGGGCTCTTCCCCCATTTTCAGACACACCCGGGGTTTCCCTTCACCAGCGAATTTCAGGTGGAGATGCCATGGCAGCTGTGGGCCTGGGCCGCTTCGCTTACGTCTTTCCCACCAAGGGCAAGCAGATGTTGAGTAAGGCCCACAGCTGTGTGACTTCGGCATCTGGCTCGTGTTTTGTGTTCTTTAAGTGAGGAAAATGATGATAAGCCATATGGAGGTTTCCTAAAATTGGGATACCCCCAAATCATCCATTTTAGTAGGATTTTCCATTGTAAACCATCCAGCAATTGGGGTACCTCCATTTATGGAAACCCCCATATGGATTTGGATTTTGGGGTATGCAAATTTCAAAGAAAGCAATAGTTGCTGAATGCTTCGATTTTGTTGGAAGGTTTGCTGGCAAAACCGAAGGTAATGGACCTTGTAGTGAGATATGTGTTGTGATGTTTTTGCCCATGGGCCACATGAGTTTATCTTTGGAGGTGTCCTAAGTCATAGTACCCCCCAATCATTCAAGTCATAAATAAACAATGACTTAGTATAGGTTAACAACCATCGTGACGTTATGGAACCTACCATTTTAAGAAACCTCCATTTAGAGAAGATTGCGATGGAGGTTACTCCTGCTACTTTGATTCGATTGAAAAAAACCAATGGGTTCTGTTGACCTTTTCCAACAGCTGGTCGTTTGATGAGGAAAGCCAATACTGAGAGCATACTGAGAGCAAAATCAAGAATTTCATGAGTTTCATGGAGCGAAATCTGATGGCTTGAATTTTCTTCGAGTGTCCATCCCAAACCGATGGTTTTCCGACACATTCTGATAGTCTTGGTGTAGCTGAAGTGCCAGGTGTATTTGAAGCAAAAGTTGAACTGTGTCTTGATGTCCAGCGAAGCAATGGTCAAGCCAAAGGCTGGGCATGTCCCTCGCCACGATGGCCAGAGGATAACTACCAGTGATATTTGCCGAAGATTTTGACCTAAGTGGTTTTACCACGCTTTAAAGGATGTTTTTTTCAGAGTCCCTACCACGCTTTAGATGAAATTGACTTCGAAAGTTTTCCATGAGGACGGATCCACCCCAAAGTTGTCGAGGAGGAAGAGAAAACCACTCAAGAGGAGGGTGAAGAAGAACATCCGGAAGAAGATGCGCTGGTCGAAGGAGGCCGGAGACGGCCATGGGTCGTACTCTGATTGTCATTACCAGTTGATGTTCGAAATCACCATTTGATGAAAGAAAAACCTTACTATTACTATGTATTACTATGTTTTTTATGTATTACTGAGTGGGATGGACCTACCCTTTTGCTTTGGTGGACTCAGGATGACTGGCTTTGGGACTTCATTTCCTGACCAGTTCCCCCAATCTGCATTTCTCTTATATGAATGTGTTATTACATAATGTATTACAATTGTATTATATATATATATATATTGGCTTGATTCAAAACATATGAATTCATATATGGTGCCTCACCAGCTGCGGGGTGCGCGGCGCGAGCGCGCAAGCATTTATGCGCGAGCAACGACAGGCGCGCGCATGTGCTAAATGCTCGCGCGCCTGCGTGCGCACGATTTCAACAGGAAATGTTGCATATGTTTTAAAAATGACAATATATATATATATAATTTTAATATATACACAATTATTCATATTCTTATATTATATCAGCATGATATGTCCATGATACCACTGTGCCCCATTGCCCGGCCCATCTGAACCGCGGCGTCCGGCAAGACCGCGCACCGGTTCAGGTGCTCCTGAGACAGAAGCGGCTGAAGATGAAGAGCCAAGCTTAGCCAGTGAATTGGGTTGGCGAACATGTAAAAAAATGATGCTTAACTTGCAATTGGGTTCACAGTGGTTAATCCATGATATTTATGGGATGAATATATGTATATATACCCTCCAGTTTTTACATGAACTAGGTTAGTGATTGTGGTGATTGTAACTATGCTAATGGGATTCAATCGAATGTTGATGGATGTTAATGGAATCGAATGGGATTTATAATGAATGGGATTTAATGTGGGAAACCCTGGCTGCCATAAACCTACCACTTGGGGACAGTAGACATACCACCCATAAAAATGGTGATTTTGGGGGATGGTTTATGGCACGCTGTGTACCATGTTTGTTTTGCATGAACTAGATTTATTGGATTTCAGTAGTGATTATGGTTATGACTATAATTAGTTGGGGCATTATAATTGACTATGGTGATCATAAAATTATAACTATAGAATTAATCTCTATTAGTTGGTTATTGATCCAACTATGTGGTGTCATCATGGCCCCATGGGCTGGAATATCCCCATGGCCCATGCATCAAACGCCAGGGGAATTTTCTATTCAAAATGGTCCATAGAAATAGTTGATTGACCATGATTGACCAAAAAAAATCATAGTGATTGTCCAGTTCGCTATATCTGTTAGTCTTACCGGTCCGGGTACATGTAATCTAAAGCACTGATTGGTTTTTCAAAAGCATTGAGGAATAGGAAGCCAGGTGTTTCTTTGTTGACGAAACTGCTGCTCCTAAATCCGCCGAAAATGATACCTTTGTATTCTAAAGCCCCGCGGTGAAAAATGGGAAAAATCGATGGGGAAATGGATGATTCATGGAATGGATCGATGGTAGCCACTTTTCAAAGCTTCAAACTCATCTTGAGGTGGAGGAAGGTTTCTCTGATGATGAGGCCAAGATGCAAAGCTCAAAACTATGGCCTCTTGGGAAATGTTGGGGTTGAAAACATTGAAACCCCTATATTTGGGTGGCAAAAACCATGGTTTTCATGGTTTCCAGTTGAGATGTTGCTTAAACCAATTCATTGCGACTTGACTTTTTTGGTGGCATCTGATGGGCCCCTTTTTTCAGGCAGAGATGGAAAAGAACGCAGCGGAGATGGGTGGAGAAGGCGCATCTTGATGGGACTTGATGGGTCTGAAACTGGGGTACCCAATGGTTATCTCAATGGGGAAAATGACTGAAAATGATGATTGCCCTCTGGTAATCAAAAACCGGACATGAAATCCATTGAAATCCCCTTGTTCATCTTGTTCTAAATGGAGGCTTGAATGGAACAATCCCCTAGAATTAGTTGTCAATTGGGCGACCATGATTCAGCATCAAATCTGGGCCCTATCTTCAGTCGCATCTGTTGATATCCTTAGTTCCCTTCAACTTTCAGCGGTGAAAGTCCAGCACATCCAGGAGCCCGGCGCAAACGGAAGAAGCAAGGGTCCGATGCTGTTCAAAGTGCCATGGCACCTAGGCAAGCTGCGAAAAAAACGAAGAAAAGCAAATCGAAACGATAAAAAAAATGAATAATAAATAATTCCACACATTTGAAAGAAATTGTGCCTATAAATTTGATATTTGGTCTCCCAGTGGATAATCTTAAATATCTTGATTTTTGTTTACATATATCAGGATGGGGTCGGTTCGTTTCGTTTCGTTTTCGTTTCCAGGAACTGGATGGAACTGGCGTTTCGTTTAGAGCCTACGCTTCGGTTCGGTTCGCAGAGATGATCGGTTCGTTTCCGTTTCGTTTCACAGACGGTTTGTGACTTCAGTGAGTTTGCTTGATGAAAAATAATGAAAAATATAGTATATGTTGGGGAGGATTGGAGAGTTTGTAAGAGCAATGTCGGAAATGCATGGAAATGCTAAATAAACAATTTTGCTCCCCCGGCGTTGGCGGTTTTTGCTTTTTTAACGGCTCTAAAAAAACAAATCCCCAATGTAGGCGGATTTGCTTTTTCCAGGGCGTGGAAAAAGCAAACGGTGTTCTCTGGGGGTGTGCAGTTTGCCAAGCCGCACATGAACTTTTAAATTGAAAGACTCGGAAATGGAAGCAATTCCATGCCTTGATTTTGGAGCCTAAGCCTAAAAGATCGAGACCGTTCCTATTTCCTGTCTCTCTCTCCCAGTTGGGTACAACGATTTGCTGATGTCCTGTCTTGGATACATCCGCATTTCCGTTGATCCCCGATTCAAAGTCACCATGTTTCGTTTGATCGTTTTTTCGTTGTGAAGTTCAAGTAACTAAGTGGTCCGATCTAATCTGAAATCCCACTTTCTGCTGGAAAATAAACAGACATTTGGTATGATAGTAGAGATTGCAGAAAATATTGCGTATACGCAGTGTTTCCCAGTTTAGCATTCAAAGTTTTCAGAACCTAGGTTTTAGGGTTTATTGAAATTATATAGGGCTCAGGTCCGCGCAAAGTTTCTCAAAAACGCAAACCAATTATTTTAACTTTTCACAATACAAAAGCCAAAACTCCAGTGCTGAGCTGAGCCCCTGGGAACTTTCTGGGAGCCTTTTGGGAGCCTCCTGGAAGCTTCTTGAAAGCCTTTTGGGGGCCTCCTGGGAGCTTTTTGGGAACTGTCCGGGGGCTGTGGAAGCCTTCTGGGAACCTTCTCAGAGCCTTGGGGACCTTTCGGGAGCCTTGTGGGAGCCTTCTGGAAATTTTCTGGGAGCCTTCTGGATGACTTTTGGAGAATTCATAGGGCCTAGAGAATGATGCCCCGGTGCCAAATTTCTAAAGTGAGGAGCAAAAAGCCAACGATCGGATATATAATTTCTATTTATCGGGCTGCTTGAGGGTTTTAGGGTTTGTGGTTTTAGGGTTCATGATGGTTTTGGGTTTTAGGGTTTAGGGTTCGTCGTCTGGGAAATTTCAAAACATTGGCCTTTCGCAGGTGTTTCAATATGTTGAAGGATAATGTTTAAACAATCCCTACCCCCTTAACCTAGGTTTTTGGGATGGATCTTACAATATGTAATTTATATTTTTTGGTTTGTTTTTAGTGGTTGGTTAATTGTAATTTAAAATCTCTAAGGTATTAGATATTTAGGTTTTGGAAGGATGAAAAATGTAAATTATGATTTCCCCTAGGTATGGTCTTGGTCAAGAAGTATTTTTATTTTTTTGGAAGGTTTTATGTTTTTGTAATTCAAAAATATAATATTAAATATTGTTTTAAGATCCTAATATAGATAATATTTGGATATATATTTATATAAATTATGAATTAGATTATGGAATAAGTTGTTTTGGAATATGTATGTTTGAAATATATTTATTAGGGATAATTGTATTATTATATATATTTAAATCTTGAAGATTGTGATTTTTCTTTTTGTAAATATATTCCGGAATAAT